TAACCCTTCTCCATCCCTATCTTTCTTTTCCATCCTCCAAGTCCTTAACTGCAGAGAACACCCCCTCCCTCTTTCCAGTTTTAAAGGAAGATTTTCACAGGGTCAGAAGTGACTGGACCCTTAAACGCAGCCAAGTGCTCAGTTGGTGGAGGACTTGCCTAACACACAGGAAGGGAGTTTGGTTCCTAGCACCATAGTGGCACAGGACTATAACTCCAGCACTTGGGAAGCAGAGGTGGGTGGGGGGGTGTCCATCAGAACAAGATCATCCTCAGCTACCTAGTGAGTTTGGGGCTAGCCTGCTTTATGTTGAGATCCAGTCTCAAAAAATAAAAAAAAGCAAAACCTTTCCCCAACATGGCACCTTTTTCAAAGAGATCCTTTTTAACATACAGCAAAGGTTTGTTGTCCCCAGCATGGGTTACCCACAACCCTACTCACGGGATGGTGCGTGTCTTTAGTCCCCTTTTCAGCTGAAGATGCTGAGATGACCAGTGGTTATCCAGGACCCTGGAGCCTCCTTCAAATCTGCCAGCTCTGAGGGTGAGGCTGTTCCCTGCTGGCTGGGACCTGGAAGAGATTGTGTGACAATCAACAAGATCTGACTGCTGGCCGCCATGAGACAAGGGAGTAACAGAGAGAAGACGCAGCTGGACTCTGCTGCAGGTGTGTCTACAGCCAAAGCCCCAAAGCTGGCTAGGCCTGGGGAGTGAGCGCCAGCAGCCCATGAAGGGCTACCGTCCCTCCCAGCAAGCGCTTGGGATGGTGGGCAGCACCTTCTTTGGGCACTATGGCTCTCAGATTAAGCTTCCCGTTTTAATAGTTTTATATCTCTATGTTACAACCTTCAGTGACTCCCCATTGCCTTCCAAATTTAGAACCATATTGTTTATCTGGCCTGCAAAGGACCCGCTGGCCTCTCTTCTAGCAGCTCTCTTTCCAGGACCAGACTCTGGCTCTCTAACTCATTCAGCCCATCCCAGTGTCTGCAATACAATACAGAGAGGCAGCCTCTACAGAGAAGGGGGTGAGGGAAGGGGGTGAGGACTTCAGCATGAGTACAGCACCTCCCACCTTTCTACCCAAGTAAAGCGCCTCTCCAACTGCCCCGCTTAAGGGTGGGCTGATCCCATATCCTGAACCCTGGCTGGCCGCTGCAGAGCAAGGGATATGATTCCCAGGCGAGATTCTGCCTGGCACTCAGTAAAGAAGTCCTAAGGGACCCCTCTGGATACTGGGTGGGACTGCCTGTCCCTCTCGCCTGTACTTGGTTGTCCAACAGCAGCCCACACTGTGAATTGAAGACAAGCCACACATGAGCCAGAGTCCTGAGTGCTTTGGTGAATGTGTGTGTACTTTGGCCAGGCTCAGGAAACATGCTACCTAGCCACAGTAACGGAACTTTGGCCTGGGAACGGCGAGCTAGTACATAGTGGGTAAAAAATGAAATAGCAGGACAGGGTACAGCTCCTTGGGCTCTGCATATGACTCCTTATCACTCCCAACCCCACTGAAGAAATGAAAGGGCTCGATGCACCAGGCATACACAGCATCCTGGAAAACGGGACTAGAAAACAAAATGAAATGTTTTGTTGTGTTAGGTGTTTACATGTATGGCACTCAGCCCTCTTTACCTACAGATCCCCCGTCCTCAAGTCCAACTAACCAAAGGCCAAAAATAGTTTTAAATGGATTTTATTCCCAGAATGACAAAAATGATAATTCGAAGGAAAACTTGCGTCTATCCTATGTCAGGCACAGGGTCTTTTATCTGGATCCCCAAATGCTGCAGAACAGTGATCCGTAGCACCCACATCTCACTAGGTCTATCAGTCACCCAGAGACATTTGAAGCACACAGGAGGATGTGGACGTATATGCTTGTGCATTTTTCTTTAGGAAGTAACCAGAGGTAATGATGCAGGCTAGCACTGTGGGTGCAGATGGGGTTGGGGGAGGAGCATTACCTAGAACTCAAGGCCAGCCTGAGCTAATTGGATACCTGAAGATTTTGACATCTGAAGGGGTCCTGGATTCAATCCCCCAGGTGACTGGCTTTGAAAATAAGAAGCTGAGAAAGTGCACATGGAGTATTGGTTTTTGTCAATCAAAACCCAAGAGTAGGCATCTGTGTGTGGGGAGGGGGGATGTGAGAAGAAATAAGGTTGGATGAGGGGTGAAGGAAGCAAAAATAAGGTAAAATCTTAAATTTAAAATGGGCATCTTGTAAACTTTTTCCAAATGACAAAGATTGCTGAAGGGAATGGACAGTGACCCTGCAGCTGGTTGCTCTGATCTTGGAGCTGCTCTCTCAGATTTAGGAGACATCTTTGGTGAACAGCTTCTGGGCCAGGCTTACTGGCAGGTTCCCTGACAGATCCCCAGCACACAGGAGAGGTGAGATTGGGGGGGGGGGGAGATGGGAGGTACCAGGACAAAATGGACAGAGAAGCCACAACCTGCAGTGTGTGTGTGTGTGTGTGTGTGTGTGTGTGTGTATGTACGTGAATGGGTGTGGCTTGGGGAGGGGACAAACCTCCAGACTTAGAATTCTGCAGGGAATGTAAAGGAAACCAGGAATATTGGGTGCTGGCAAGGCTGCTGATTAGGATTCTGCTTGGCAGCTTTACTTCCTTGGCCAAACTGGCCTTGAATTGGGACAAACTTGCCTTTCTGGCCTATATGCTAGGTAGCATCAGAGCTGACCCCAGGAAGCAGCGAGTCAAGCATTATCTCTCTGCTTCCCTTAGACTGAGCTTGTGGGGCCCCTGGACCTGTGTGAGCACCCATCGGGCCAGCTTGGGCGTTCCTAACACATACACTCTGATTCCTGACACATACACACCCTGTTTCTGGGTGGCAACCACCAGCCTCTTGCAATCAGCAGGATCCAGGCTCTAGCTGCTATGGGTGCTTCCCAAGCCCATGTCAGGAGAGGTAGGTGCCCTTTCCCCACTCTTGACCACACCCTTCACTGGGCTAGGGTTGAGCAACTGATGTCATGTGCATCCCCAGAGGGAGTGGTGGTAGGTCAGCAGCATTGTGCTCAGGTAGCATGCAGGTATCAAGCAAGACAGGTTTCCACTCAAAGGCCAAGATGCTACTGTGGCACTTGTCCATGGTTTACCAGTAAGGCGCCAGGCTGAGAGAGGGCTACACAACCCTAGAGCACAGGGAATTACAACCCAGCCTGGGCTGGCTCCCCCACCCAGACAGTGCGCAGGGAAATGGAAGCCACAACCCACCCAACAGGCTTGCGGTTTTACAAAGAGGATGGTACTGCTCACAAGGGAGCCTGAAACTTGCACATGTTGGGTGGTTGGTTCCCCCTACAGCATTTCTTAGTAGTGCTCCACTCCGGTCGGTCCCAGTCTCTTCATCCGTTAAAAACGGCTTCCATAGGCCCAGGGTTTGTGCCTGACTCCTACAAACGAATTTGGGTGCCAATTTCTCCCTCCTTCCCTTTATCCGGGACCCGAGTCTTTCGGAGCCCAGACACCAAAAAAGTCGCGTTCACGGAACTGAGATTCTTCCCAGAGACACCTAATTTGGATCAGAGCCCTCTAATATGAGATGTGGCTGCTTGCCACAGAGCCTTCTTGCCTTGCAGAATATGGGCCCCTAAACCGAGTTCTAGTGTGAACAAAGCCCGCCTCCCACCCAGGTTTCCAGCCAGAGATCCTTTTCAGCAGCTGCCAAGAAGGCACACCCAGGCAGTGGGCAGCAGAGGCTATATAGTTGGGTAAGGTGCAGGCCTCAAAGTTTCCACAGCTTGGTTGCTCACCCTGCCTCTCATTCAGGGCTAGCTCTGGACTCCAAGCCTGGAGAGCCACTTACCATGGGAGGGGAGGAACTCTCTTATCAGTTTTCCCCTTTGGATCGAGTTAAGCAGGAGAAAGCTCGGGGTCTGCAATCTCCTTATGGAATGTGAAACACAGTTTGTTAGGCACTGGCTGTGGACCCGCACTGAACGGCTGGACGAGCCTTTCCGTGATAACCCGTGTCCAGTGAAGCGCTCCCCTCAGTGACTCGGCTGTCCCCTGCTCCCGTCGAAAGTGGGTCACAGCTCAGCGGGCCTCAGCGAAGTCTGGAGTACCCTCTGCGGCCTTTCTCCTGAAGTGGGAGAAAACAACTCACACTGGGCACGGCAAGAAACAGGCAGGAGGAGGAACTGACCCGCACGACCCACAGTAACTGGCCTGAAGCTCTCACCGGCCTGAAAAAGATCGAGCCTGGAATGGAGATGCCAGAACGGAGGTACCAGGCTCCTCGCCAGCGTGACACCAGGAGGCAGGAGCCAGGCCCTGCGGGTTACACATAGAGACTGAACCCTGGAAACAAGAGCATTCCATCGCACCGCGATGGCACGGAAAGCATATTTCGTTACGCGTCAGTGTTAAAATATGTCGTATTTCTACAACCTCGCTTTGGCAGAGTTTCCTTTTTTTAATTACACGCACTGGGTCTTTTAAAAAGTGAGATTGCGGTCCAGTCAGCTACAGTTCTTACACGCGTGCGAACACACAGTCACAGGAACACAAGAACTCACGCACAAACCGCGCGTTCTGCGGGGTCCGACGCGCTCTCGGCGGGTGAGTACTGGCTCTCCACCGACATCATTGGCTAACCTGGGCCTCAGAGCGACCCTGTAGCCAATGGTCGGCCTCCCAGCCGAGGCCCCGCCCTTCTCCCACCCCCTAGCGCGGATGCGGGGGACCGCCGGAATGCATCACGCACGGTCGTCCCCACGACCGCGCGACCACGGGGCCGCCTGCCCTGGGCCGCGCTGCCGCCTGCGCGCAGGGTCCGTCCGGGCGGCGTCTCTGGCTGTGACTTCTCTCGGGGACCCGGCGGGTCCTTGGGGCCGAGCCAGCGGAGCCCGCGCCGCCCCGCCCCTGCCCCGCCCCCTCCCCGCCCCCCGTGAGGCCGGCCGGGGCGGCGACCTGAACCGCTACGAGAAAGGCGAGCGAGGCAGCTGCGGGAACGCTATCCGCACGCACCCGCTCCCGCCCAGCCCAGCGCGGCGCAGAAGCCGACGCCCGCCTCGTGGAGCCCGACGCCCGCGCTCGGGGCAGCGGCTCTCCAGGGCCGGCCCGCGCCTGCGCTGGGCAGCCGCTCGCCACAATCCCGGCGAGGTCGGGAAGCGGCTGCGCCCCGGGGCACCCGGGACCCCCAGGATCCCACCATTGCCCGACGGGCCCGCGGCCGCGATGCCGGATGAGCTGACCGAACCTGGGCGCGCCACGCCAGCCCGTGCCTCCTCCTTCCTCATCGAGAACCTGCTGGCAGCCGAGGCCAAGGGCGCGGGACGCTCAGCCCAGGGCGATGGCGTCCGCGAGGAGGAGGAAGACGACGACGACCCCGAGGACGACGATCCAGAGCAGGCGCGGCGGCGAAGGCTGCAGAGGCGACGACAGCTACGTGCGGGAAGCGGGTCGGGCGGGGAGGCAAGGGCCCGGGCGCTGGGCCTAGGGCCCCGGCCGCCTCCCGGGCCCGGACCGCCCTTCGTGCTCGGCTGCGGAGGCACGACGCGGTGGTACCCACGGGCCCAGGGCGGCTACGGAGGTGGCCTGAGTCCTGACAGTGAGTGAGGGTGCGGGAATCAGTGGGCAATGCGCAGGGCCCTGCTTCCTCCCTGCGCGTTCTTTTGGCGACTTAGGGCTTGCTGAGCAGTAGTCTTCTGTATACCGGGGTCTGGGTGGTATGAGACCCCTCTTGGAACGCCAGCTTGGGCAGTTTTTGGAGACCAGGGATGGCAGTCCACGCGTGGAGATTCTAAGGCCGGGAGTGGGGCCGGGAGACGCGCAATTGCAGACTGGAGAGAGGAGGGTGAAACAGGCCGCGGGAAGACAAGAGAGGGGAAAGGCGTGTATTGAGAGGGTGAAGATGAAAAGGAAATGATGGAGAGGAAGGGAGCAGAGGAAGGGAGACCGTGAGGCCAAACACTAAAATAAAAAGGAGGACTGAGCAGAAGATCCACAGTTATGGGGGCTGGTTGGGAGGCCTTCTTCCACAACAGCTGTGCCCGCCTAAGTATCATGTGCTCCACTGGCTGCAGTAAGAGCCCGGGCTGGGCCTGGGCCTCCCTTAGGGTCTTCCTAGGCCCCAGGGCTGAGGGTGGTAGGAGTCCACTCTGAAGGGTCCACTCCACCCCCTCTTCATTTCTTGCCCCTCCCCCGCCTTGGCCTTTGTTTCCTGTAGAGGGCTCAAAGAATGTGGGTGGGGGCTCCTCAATCCCAGAACCCACTTACCCCTCTGGCCTGGACATCCTGACTCTGCCTCTGTCTTCAGAGGGTCCTTACCTCTCTTAGGGCCTGCCCTTTAGAGAACAACCCTCGAGAAGACTAGGAAAGATATTTCAACCTCTCCCACCCCAGCCCCTCTTCGCCAGCTTGTCTCTAAACACACAGACTTCTATATAACTAGAGACTTTGCCCACTGAGGCTCCGGAGCCATCTGTGTGTGTGGGTTCTGGAGCTTTGGTGTAGTAAGTGGCCTGGGACCACTCTTTTCCGTTAGATACCTACCACCTTCCTGGCATGGAGTAGGACAGATCTCTCAGCCCAGGTCTGGGATGCCTGTCTTCTTTACAGAAACTTATAAACAGGGCCCTGTAGTTTACTGAAATCCGGTGATGAGACTCTTGCAGAGTGCATTTTATTCTCCCTTCTAGTTAGGCCATCCTCACCTGCAGCCCAGTGGTCAACCCCCCCCCCCAGAGGTGACCCCTCCTTATTTCGTACCATGCGGGTTAGGGTCCCCTATTCCTATCAGAGCAGGCGAGTCAGATTAGCACTTCCTGGCAATATGTGGACCTCTGTGAGTATAGGGACTTAGGGTGTCTTATGCACTAAGCCCCTAGGTCTGGCTGCACACGCACCATCCTGCTATGTGACTTTGTAGTGGGTACTGACAGAACTGAACTCGGAGGCTGGGCAGGGACACAAGTGGGGTCAGCATGCTTCCAAGGGCACCAGGCAGAGTTTAGCCATGCACACAAACCCTCCATGCTCAGGTATAACCTGGTTCCAAACCCACCTTGGTCTTTTTATTAGTCAGGACAGGCTGGGTCTTGCAGTCTAGAGGATCACCAGGGGCTCCGTGAATTTTTTTTTTAACCTGGTGACATCTCTTGCCAGCCCTGAGCTTGGTACTTGGGGCATGAGTCCAGAGATTCTCTAGGAAAGGAGCCCCAGGCAAGTGTAGGAGATGCTCGGGGCAGGCTGGGATATTGCGGTCCACAGAGCAGCCTTCCTCTGTGCTCCCCTGGAGTTTGTTTGCTGCTGAAGAGGCCCGCCTCTGAGAGTGTCTGGGTCAGGGCTGGGCTACTGTCACCCCAGTGGGGGGGGGGGATGTGCATTCGTTTCTCATGAGAGTTTTTCCCCTGGTGTCTGCCCACCCCCTCCCCACCGTGAGTAATGGGGAAGCCTTGGCGCCCAGCTGCCAGGTTGTGTGTCAGTCTCAGTGTGTACTAAACCCTGAAGGACATGGGCCCTTTTGTCCCTAGCCTCTGCCAGTCTTTTGTGCGGTAGTGGCAGGCCTGAACCAGGAGCAATCACAAAGGTCAACTTGCCTTTTGAGTTAGCCCTTTTTCTTTCTGTCTGCCTCTGACCTCCTCTGGGTGTATGCTGCCACGTGTTTGCCCTGGCCTTGAGCTTCACCTTCTGCCTCTGCCTCTCCTCCCACCCCTAAGTGTCAGAGGCCCCAACCCCTGCGCAGGAAATATTTCCCAGCCTGTGGCATTGTGGCTGTGGAGGATTTGACGGTGGGAGGAATCTAGCCTTAGTGACTCCTACTAGGCATTCCCTTAGAACCTACCACCATGCCCATTTCTCCCCTGCAGCAAGCGACCGGGACTCTCCGGAGACTGGTGAGGAGATGGGCCGTGCAGAGAGCTCTTGGTCGCGGTGCCCCGGGCCGGGAGCCTTGCCGCGGGAGGAGACAACGCAGGGCCCAGCGGCCGGAGGGGAGGAGGCGGCGGAACTGGCCGAGGTCCCGGCTGCAGCGACGGCTGCGGCAGGGGAGGCTCGCGGCGGCCGCAAGAAGAAGACGCGCACAGTCTTCTCGCGCAGCCAGGTCTTCCAGCTCGAGTCCACCTTCGACCTGAAGCGCTACCTGAGCAGCGCGGAACGCGCGGGCCTCGCCGCCTCGCTGCAGCTCACCGAGACGCAGGTCAAGATCTGGTTCCAGAACCGTCGAAACAAGTGGAAGCGGCAGCTGGCGGCGGAGCTGGAGGCGGCCAGTTTGTCCCCGCCGGGCGCGCAGCGTCTGGTCCGCGTACCGGTGCTCTACCACGAGAGTCCCCCGGCCGCCGCGGGGCCCGCGCTGCCCTTCCCGCTGGCGCCGCCCGCACCCGCGCCGCCGCCGCCGCTGCTCGGTTTCTCAGGCGCGCTGGCTTACCCGCTGGCCGCCTTCCCCGCCGCCGCCTCGGTGCCCTTCCTGCGCGCGCAGATGCCGGGGCTGGTGTGAGCCCGCGCCCTCCACGCAGGCGCGCCTCGCAGTCCCTCGGGCTGCCGTCTCCGCGGGCAGCCGCTCCAGAGTGCACCGGACCGCGGCTGGAGCCCCGCTAGGAGGAAAGCGGCGATTCGACAGCTCTCGCCCGCCCGCACCCGAGTGCTGTGAAGATGCGGGCTCCTCGGCAGCAAATGGATACTTGGAACGGGCTGGCCAAGGAACTGTCCCCGAGGCACCCTGCCCCTAACTAAAACTGTCTCCTTCTCGGGACCTCACAGGAGCTAGGCAGCAGGGTCCCCTTCCAAGGGACAGCGCAGAGAGCCACGGGCCTTGGGACATCCCATCTTGGGCCTCTCTTCCGAAGAGGGTTTCTCTCTTGAGCGGCCTTGGTTCTCTTGGCTTGGCGAAGACTTTTTTTTTTTTTTTTTTTTCTGTGATGAATTCACTTCTTTGCATATGGAATAAAAAGGGACGTTTTCTGGATGGACTCGCTGCTGTGTAGTCGCTGGGCAGAGACTCTCCTGGTAGCAGGCCTGAGTGAGTGGGTGCTTCTCTCCAAAAGCTGGCTAGGGATGTGGGAAGGCTGTCCTGGGGTAGGTGGGTGGGGCAGACTGGACACCTTTCGGGGTCCTAAATTTTACTCTTCTCCTGACAGGGAACTGGACCTCCGTGGAAGACTTAAAGGTCCAAGAGTGAGGAGTAGCGTGCAATGTAAAAATGACAGTATGTTCTAGAGTTCTGGGGACTAAAACCAGAAGGCACAGGCAGGTGAAAGCAGGACTCTCTTTCTTTGACTACCAATTTGTCACAAGAGCCAATGAGGCTGTGTATTCACTGACCTTACTGGCACTTAGGACAGTAGAACCTGTATAGAAATCCTTTGAACAAACGGACAAACAAAAAACAACAACAAAAGCATTCTGGCTCTCCAGCAAGGCGCTGAGGTGCTTTCTCCTGCCTCCGCTGCTGGTCCATCTGTAGCCTCCATGTGTGGGATCTCAGGGGAAGTTGCTTGGACAGGACAGTCCACCAGGGTCACCCTTCTCCATTGTCCCTAAGTTGACTGCTCCTACCTACAGGTGGGCCCTGCTCTGTGTGGAGAGTGGTGGTTTATTTGGTGTGCTTTTGAGTTTCATTGGGAGAGGACATTCAAAGTTTGAAGGGCTCACTTCACTCTCAGTCTTAACAGGGGACCCTGGAGTTGTCTTCCCCCACTGCTTCACCTGGAAGCAGACACTCCACAGCCACCAGGTCACCCAAGGTGGCACCAGGCAGGAGAAGGGGCCAGGAGCCTGGGGGAGTCCCTCCCTGTGTGTGTGTGTGTGTGTGTGTGTGTGTGAGTGTGTGTGTGTTTCTCATGTTTTCTCTCTCTCTCTCTCTCTCTCTCTCACACACACACACACACACACACACACACACACACACACCCATGCTAGTCCAAAGAGCTGGTTTCCCTCTCCTGTTGCCCTCCGTTCTCAAGCCCTGAGGATGTGTGGAAGGAACACTGGTCCTTGACCAGCAGTCCCATCTTTAGGCCAGTCTTCTCCATCAGTTGGTCCTTCACAGTTCGGAGCCTGGGCACTCTCTCTCTCTCTCTCTCTCTCTCTCTCTCTCTCTCTCTCTCTCTCTGTGTGTGTGTGTGTGTGTGTGTGTGTGTGTGTGTTGGGGTACCCGGAACTGCTTTGCCTTGCCCTGAGTAAAGCCAGCTTTGTCTGGGAGAGACTGTAATACATTTCAATGAACTTGGAGTTCTCATAGGCTTTGGACCCTGGTCAGCAGCTGTGTGGGGTACAGGTTGTCCACTGATAAAACAAGCAGGCCTACCTCACTCTCTCACCTCTCCACTGTGTCTTCACCTGACTTTAATGGCCTGGCTTCTGTTGCTGTTGTATTGCTCTCAGGACAAATCTCTGCCCACCCTGGAAATCCAGTGGCACTTTGCAGATCCTAGCACAGCAGCACAGGTCCCCATGGCAGTGATGGCCCCTTTGACTCTTGTTTTGTATGAACAATGGATCTTCCCATGGTACGCCTCTAACCATACACATCCTACATGCTGTGCTCTGGGTGGGAATACTAGCACCATTGCCGCGCTCTCAGGGTGCTCAGGTCACTAGCCATTCTCCTCAGCCCTTTCAAAATGTAGAGTTAGACCCAGGACAAGGCAATCGTTGGGAGAACATTTTATTCCAGTTACTCTCTGGTACCTTGGACTGAGGTCACATGCTGACCTCAGTCTCTGAGCCCCTCAGCAGCAAATGTGTCCTCATCAGAATTCCTTACCAAGCCACAGTGAAATATGCTAGGGGAGTTACCTGCCACATGGGGCCTGCAAGGGACAGGATCCTATGGGCACCTGCATGGAACCTCACTCCATCCACTGGAGAAGGGGCCAAGCCAGCTGTCTAAGCAGGATCTGAGCTGTTGGGGAACAATTATATCTTTAGATAGAATTTGCAACACTGGGCAGGAGAGATGTCCACTTCCCTAACCAACCCCCAGCCTCCTAGGGAAGTCTTGGAGTCCTTCAGCAAGAAAGTAGTGTCTCCTGGAACTAGGAACTGGTCCTGATGGTGAGGAGGCAGCTCCTCAACTGGTTCAGCTCATCAGGCTCAGGCAAAAATGTCTACCAGGTTCTGGGGTGCAGGGTAGAAAGGCAGCCCTAAACAGAAAGGACTGACCCAAATGCAACATTCAAGCCCTTGACATTCAGGGACAAGAGTGTGCCAGGACCAGCTAGGGGCCTTAGTAAGCCCTCATCCTGCAAGGCCTCATCCTGGCATTGATTGCAGGCATACCTCATTGCATTGACTGCTGCTGGCAGAAGATGAATGGTTTCGATCTGTTTCTGCCAGGTAAACCTCCTTCTCACTGCTTCCCTGGCCAGCCTCACTCACTGCTTAGTGAGGTCCACCCTAAACCGAGAGTCAAATAGTCCGCCTTAACACATGACCTTCAAGTGCACCCTCTTCTACTGGCAAGAGACATGCCACCCACAAGCCCTTTTATTCAAGGCCCCAGTTTCTCATCATGAGCCACGTGGCATGTAACTCGTGCCTTGTCTGCATTCTGTATGTGAAAACAACAGGGCCCATGCTCAGACAGGGCATGCACAGTTACCAGTCAGTTGGGAATATCCCTAGTCCAACTGAGTTTCTACCAGGAGTATGGAAGCAGCCCTAAGCTAGCTCATCTCTCTAGACACTGGGTGCAGTGAGGGAGTGTGATGGTGGGGGGGTGCTCCCCTGGCCACTTGGCCCTGGCTCAGAAAGCAAGGACATCCAGGAAGATTCCTTCCTGCCTTATCCCAAGTTAAAGCAAACCACAGTAGGTACTGGAGAAATCAACCCAATTCCTGCCACCTGAACCCTTATCCTATCAGCTGCAGGAAAACTACAATACCTCTCTCTCTCTCTCTCTCTCTCTCTCTCTCTCTCTCTCTCTCTCTCTCTCTCTCTCTCTCACACACACACACACACACACACACAATCTGGCTGCTGAGGAGGAAGCTCCCCAGAGCCTGGGAAACAGAAAGAACAGCCCTCACAGAGAGAACAGCCCAGCTGGGTTGAGACCAAGGGGCTGGGTACTGGCCAGGTGAGCTAAGCCAGGAGCCTTCTTTTCTTTCCCGAGGGCCCTTCTGTCCCACCTAGCAATATAGTGGAAAATGAACACAGTGGGTCTTGCATCTACAGAACATGGGCTCTGGCTCAGGGAAGCCTCAGGGAGGCCAGAGAGTAGCAAGGCTGGGGACCAGAGAGAGCTCCTCTCTGAGGTTCTTCCTAGACTTCCCAGGGCAGTGCTGCGCTGGTAACAGACGGTGAGGGTGGAGTGGGGATGGCGTGGTTCCCTTGCTTCAGTGAACCGGCTCCAGGCATTCACCAAAATGCTTTGAGGAAAGGACTTGGGGGGAAGTGGGATCCCTGCCTCTGGAACTCTTCCAGTCAGCTAGTATGGAGCCGCTTCCTGGGTGCGCGGTTGACCTGGAAGGACAATAGAGATGGCGATTCCATCGGCAGTGGACTAGAAGTCCACTGTCCTCATGGTGTATGCTCACTCGGTTGGCTGAAGGGAATGGGCATGGGCAGGCGCTTCCCGGGGACAGGAGGAAAAGAGCATACCCCTGCAGCAGCTGTCCTTTGTTTTGTTGCATTGAATTTTCGTTATTGTGAAGGTGTTATCACTCATCATTACCTGGACAGTTCAGTAAAACCAGAACAGAAAAACAAAAAGCAAAATAACAAAATTGTGTGCCCTTTCACCATCAGCGCCAACTGAGAATTTATTGTGTATCATGGATGTTAAGCCAGACTGAGAATTTATTGGGATAGTCAGACTGTTACCAAAAAAAAAAAAAAAAAAAATCTAAAGTGCATTTATGAATTTACCAGTGAAATGATATGACGTTGGTTTGCCTAAAATATGCAGCAAAATTAAAAGGGAGATTGGAAGAGAGGGTCTTGATCAGGAGTTCATACTTGCAGTAGGGCAGAGACATTATTTCAACTCTTTTTCTTGATTTTATATTTGAAAACAAATAGAAATAAACCTGCTTAACGAGACCGTGAAAACGCGAGGCTATGTGTTTCCGGGGGAGGTCAGAGAAGCGGCTGTATGTTCCAAGTTTATTTTCACCCAAACCGGGTCTCACCTGGACCCACTTAAAACTCTTTTTCAACTGTCTTTCCTCCCCGCTTAGACAGGATCTGGCCCTTAAAGCTCACACTTCAGAGCTATTTTGGTCTCAAACTTTCCTCTTTTTTTTAAAAACCAGCTTTCCGAGTTTTCACCTTCCTGTTCTGGTCCGGGTGGCCCCTCCGGATTCCTCACCTGGAGTAAGAGCGCCTGAGATGTATGAGGGGGCAAAGGGGCTTAAGGGTCTCGGCCCAGGCCACCCTGAGACGTAGTTTGGGGTGGTGCTCGGCGGTGGTTTCTTTGGTCTGGGAACAGGCTCTTCCGCTGCTGGCACAGGGTGGGTCTGTGGCATAGTGAGGGAGCGAGGCTGGGCGCCCACAGGCTACAGGAGAAGCGAGGATGGAGAAGGGCTGCGGAGCCGGGACACCCGCGGGCTCTGCGCGGTCCAGGATTGCTCAGGCGAT